AGGCATCACTGAGAGTTGCTCATATGCTCAATACAATAATGATAATTGTAGAAATTAAAATACAGCCATAAAATACAAATTTTAAGTATATGAAATGTTCGGTTCAAATAAAATACATCTTTATTGCTCTGGAGGCAAGCACTCAGTTGTATTATCACATAATGCTGCTGCAGAAGGTGTCTGTGTGTAAATCTCAGCCTTCAGTCTCGCACATTGTTCAGTCGGAGAAGCAGAAAAAGAGTTGTGTCTCTGTAGACTAGTTACAGGTGCCTGTGTGTCCCGGGCCTGTGCTGGATAATATGGAGGCTGTTTAATGTGATTGACACAGAGCTCAGAGTGAGCCCTGTATTCTGTCTGTCACTGTCAGTGTCTCTGCTCCTCTGGGATCTGTGGGTTTCTCCTCCATAACGTTTGAGATAAATGTCTAGAAAGTATAGAACAGTGTGAGAGGAAAAATCTTGACAACCACCAGCTGCTCGTAACTACTGAAAAATAAAGAGTTTGGAGGAACTGGCTTTCACATAAATGTTAAATACTTATAACAGTAACAGAAATAAGTGTTTTATATTTAGTGCCATGAATTTAAGGATGTTTGAAAAGGAAATATACACAAATTACTGTTTAAAAGTCAACACAGCCAACGATTCTTTTAAAATTACACTGCGGATTTTGGTCCATAACGTAGAAGACAATAATAAAAAAATACATTTCACTATTTTCCAAAGCAAGATACTGGTGTCAGATTGATTAGTTTGTTGGACCAACAAAGTTAAGTGTCATATAAGACAAAGGAAGCGTAAAAAGCTTTAATTTGTGAAAATATTACCATAACCTGGTTATCAAATTAGTTTGTTTTCATGTTCAGAGTTTGACCTTGAATGTTTAAGAGAAATTTGCTCCATGTTACATCTTCAAATTAATGGAAGCTCCGTCTGTATTTGCCTTAAAATGTAAACGTTTATGTCATGCAACAAAAGAAGAAGAATATAAACCAAACGGAGAACCATGGAGAGCCTGCACATTTGTTTGAAAACATGTTTCATCTGTAAAGAAAAGTGTTCGTTCGCTCTCAAAAATTAAAAAAAATCATAAATGAGCAAATAATCTTTTTTATGCAGAAGCATTTTTTTTTTCCAAATATAGACTGGTGGGAAATTGGATTTTAATTATTTTTTATAATTGGCAAAGCAGTAGGTCTGATATAAATGTCTGCAGAATGTAAAAAAATGTCTTCACTCTGCTTGTCCTCCTTCATCCCTCCTTTCATCCTTCTATTTATCAGAGTTACTCATCCAATATGCTCTGCTCTGTAATAAGGCACACATATTTGTGTTACCTGTGATGTTGTTAGTGGAGCTGCTATATTGAGATGCGTTCTGACAAAAGTATCATCATCATCATCATATGATTGCCAATGATATGTAACGCATCAGTATTGTAATTTATACTCTCATGTTCAATGCTCGTCGATGTGTGGATGATACAAAAGCTACAAATCAATTTCTAAATGAGCCTTGTTGCTTTTAAACTTGAAGCTGTTTTAGTCAGAGTGGTTGTTTCCCCTTTTCAGACACTCTTCAATAAGACATTGTCATGCAGCTCCTAATTTAAAAACAGTGTTGCATCAAAATACCAATGTAGTGTTACTGGGGAGAAATGAATTTCAGGACTGCACAGAAAAAGAAAAAAAAAAAAACCACTCCTTCCCTGTCCTGATAACTGCAACACTTGTTTTAATTTTGGAGAAGACTTCTGTTGTCTCACACTGCGTTTTTTAGCCAAACTTAAAAAAAACAAACTAGCCTCATTAATGTGTTTTTTTGTGTGTGTGTGTGTGTGTTTGTGTGTGGGTGCTCTGTGTGCGGCACCACTTGTTGCCGTGGTAACGCCGATTGTCTCTGGTTTGCAGACAGCCAATGGGAACGTGGAGGCCAAAGTGGTGTGTTTTTACCGGCGCAGGGACATCTCCGGCACACTCATCGCCCTGGCAGACAAACATGCAAGTGAGTGACCGACCATAACCCATCCAGCAAACATCCGGCATGAAAAAGCTCACCAGCCAGGATCGAAAACTATTTTATTTGGCAGACCTCTGCAGTTATTCCCCTCTGCAAAGTTGTACTGCCTTCACATCCAATCCAAGAAGATTCCTCTGAACTGGAAAGCACAAACTCTTTTTGCTATGAGGCCAGATTTGCAAACCAGATTCTTATCGAGGGGGTCATACAAATTTAAATAGTTTGTGTGCTGTTACTGAGCGGAGAGAAACATTCCAGACTGCAGCCTCCTCTGATAGGTCTGATTTCAGACAGCATTCGATTTGCTGGATGTATCAATATGACGACACCTGCATGTGAGCTCCTCCTTGTTGAAGTGTGGCTGTGTGGGGTGTACATGATGCTGTTCTTAAGAGCTCGGAGCAAGCCCTGCAGTGTCTGGAACAGCTGGCACACACTGAACGGGCTCGAGCAGCATTGTGTGGCCTTTTCAACGGTACAGGTGTCACAGTGCTTTTCAGGGAGAAAGACAGTGAAACAATGGATTAAAAAATGGTGAATGAAAGGAAAGTTGAAACAGTTCAATGATGAAGACTTGCAGGTTACCAAAGTACATAAAGAGCCGGAGACTTCTGACGGCCTCCCCGGCGGTCAGGTGGAAATTCTGCCTTCAGGGCACTGCCTGAGAGTGCCTGAAGCAGGGAGTCATGTGATTCATTCACAGTGTACAACATTAAAAAAAATCTCAAACATGACAAGAAGTTTCCTGTTTTGAGACTTCACAGAACTCGACTCTCATCTGAATTTTGTTGAAGTAGCTTGGTCATCCAGCCAGAAAAGCCACATGTCAGTGAATATAGACTCAAACATTAATGTAGTATACAAACATATATATATATATAATATATAAACTGTATCTCTGATAGGATGTAGAATTTCTTAGTTGCTTGTCAACACACTGCTCCATCCTTAGTAGATAAATATCGTGGGATTAAAGGTGAAAGTATCTCGACGAGGAGGCATCTTGTCCAAACTCAAAAGTGTTAATCGCTGTATCTGCCTCATTTTGAGATTCTTATGGATGTTCGTGTCGTCATAAAGCAGGATGTGTCAAAATGAAAAGTACAAATGGGAGTAATCTCTCCTGATGGGCATCTATGGCATTGAGTTGCACACAGGTACTGGTGTGAGCTCCAACCCGTCCAGTCTCTGTACAGTGGGTGTGAATGTCAGGTTGTTGGTTTTAGAAAGTTGCCCAACTTGTCGAATGCAAACTTCATCTGTGGCACAGTGGAGCCTTCTGTAACTCGCCGCATGATCCAGTGAACGTGTCGCTTTCTGTGACGGCTCTACTTTGTCACACGGTGAGTGTAAAAAAAGGCCACAGGTGCAAGAGAAAAACGGGCCATGGCTGTTTGGTAAGAACACGACCGGGGAGACTGGGTCTGGCCCACATCTGGTCTGAGATGACCTGCGTGTCTCTGTCTCTGTCTGTGATGTGGTGCAGCATGGGTAATGTAAACAACACTCGCAGACAGTTTATGGTTATGTCGGCTTGAAGGGCACATTTGAAGTGTGGTTAATCGTGCGCCTCCTGCCTGTGCACAGGCTGTCAGGAGCGGAACCACGACCTGACGACACAGTTTACTTAAACCATACAGACAAACTGAAAAGCAAAGGACAACATTGAGCCTAATTACATCAATCTTTAAAATTGGTTAGTAGCGGTACATCCTGATATATTGCACCCAAGCTGTCATTCTAAAAGTAGAGACGCTGTCGTCATTCAGGCAAAAGCGGCCACTATAGACTTTGACTGGGTGTGGCCAGCTCAGTGAATGTGTGTGTGTGTGTGCACAGTGATGGCCTGGGGGGTGTATCCATGGCAGGATGGGATTGTTTGTTCTCTTGGACCACACAGCATCAGTTTCCCAGTGTGTGTCCCTTTTTAAGAAAGTCTGTGATTATTTGTGACTGGTTTGTGTGCGTTCATACACACGCTGCTTTATCTGAACTCACCTTTTTCTTTACTGCAGTCTGGGTTATTCAGCTGATGTGGTTCTGCTCTGAGTTTTTTAAAGCCCCAACATCAACCACAACTTGAGAAGAAAACACATTTGATTTAGATTTTCGGTGTGTGTCTGGTTTCTTTTTGCATGGCAAGTAAACATTGATATTTTAATGCACTGAGCTCTGACCCAGCGGCGTTACGATCCTCCTGGCACACTGATGTGGCAGGGCATTGTGTTTTGAACATGGAGAAATGTTTGTGTTGGTTGCTCCTATGCCGGCCTCTGAGTTTCGGCTGTGCTCTGCCAGCTGCAGTTTGGTGAGGGGCTTCCAGACATTTGCAATATGTAAAAAATGCATGGCAGGAATGGCTGCGCACCGCATGGGTGTGGGCTGTATCCTGTCTGCGTTTCTGTAGCTGCAGCCACACTGTGTGTGTGTGTGTGTGTGTGTGTGCGCACGCTTATGCATGATGGACTTTAGTTTCTAGCTTTGGGTCCTGCCACAGGAATTACTGAAGGGGTAGATTTAATTCAGTTTCGATATGGATCAGTGGAGAATGGCAGCCGTTTGTGTGTGTGCGTGTGTGTGTGTGCGTGGACGAGTCTGTGTGTCCTCATGTGTGTCTGCTGTGAGTCATTGATAAAATATTTTGCTTGCAGGGATCCTGAATACTCCCTCAACGGGGCCTCCAAACTCCACCATAAGCCCCTCCCCTGTGAGCAAAGCAGCCTCCTGAGTGGTCAGCTCCTGTGGCGGACTTGGCATTTTAACTCCCTGGCCCCTCCCTTCAGACATTTGAATTTGCCGTGACTCAGACCATATCCTATTTTTGAGATGTGGCTCCTAGCTCCCATAAACAATAGACAACAATGGCATTAATGAAGTGATGCTCACAACTAGAATCAGCAGAATCCCTTTGGTACAAGCCGGTAGTGGACTTTTTATCACAGCCGGCGTTTTGCGTTGGTTTCCAAAACGGATCATATGTCAAGTAGGAGTCCATAGTGGAAAAACCCTTAGTCGTGCTCCGTTTTACCCTTTTAGTAACACAATCACTCTGTGTGTTTGACAGGACTCATGATATGTAATAGTGGGACTACTTTTCACAGTGATAAAATAGATTTTCTCATTGTTTTCCCAAGCTGCGGAGCTTTATGAACTGCAGCAGCTTCGCCTTGTGTCGCTTCACATCGAGTTGTTGAGCTCACAGAGATTTCATGTTGTAGTCAATCAATGTTACGCAGCTAAATGATCTTATTAGTTTTAGCTTCAAGATAATCCAATCAAGTATACTGATGTCAGGGAGGAAAGGGGTGATGATGCTAAAACCTTTTTTACCTTTCTGCTTGTAACCAAAACCAGATTACAGGTAGTAACAGCTTCTCACGGGGCAGCTGTGGATGAGGGGTAGAGTGGTCGTCCTCCAATCAGAAGGTCAGCAGTTCAATCCCCAGTTTCCTTGGGCAAGATGCTGAACCCCGAATTGCCCCTCATCGAACAAAAAGTGCTGCTAATAGATGCACTGGATGAATGGGTGAATGGAAAACTACTGTAAAGAGCTTTGAGTGGTCATCAAGACTAGAAAAGCACAATATAAATACAAACCATTTACCATTCTACATTTTCACGTGCACTTTAGCTCCTGTCTGCTCTAAAATTTGTGATTACACACAGTTGTCCACTACGAGGATCGCTCCTCTACTTTTCATCACACAGTATGTTAGATATGTCAGTGACATCCATGATAATTGGATTTTAGTTGTGTATCAGAAATAATCCCAGCCTTTACTGACACACCTGAAATCGCATATCTTCTGACCGTTCACTTAAACTGTGCATATGTCGTTGCCATTTTACAGGAAGCAGATGTGCGCTCTGGTTGCTTATTTACAGAAAACACTACTTCTTGCCTTCATTGCTGATAAGAGAGTTTTAACTGATGAGAACCAATCAGGAAGTGAATGCGGGGGATTGCGTCACCATATGCAGCTACAATATACTGAGTGGAAATTCCCTGATTTGTTCTTCCCATATTGGCCACTCTACAGACTGTTTACCTTTTAGTGTAACCTTATATCAACTCTCTGAGAGAGGAACAACCTGAGTCTCTCTGCACTTCCACCTCCAGTACAACACAACTGAACGCAGACCAGACATGAGGTCCCACTGTAGCCGTATGCATAAGAAGTGATCAGCACTACAGCACCACATTGTCCCGTCTCACCGTTGTTGTTTTCTCCTGACCGCGCTCGTCTTGTTCTCGCTCTTGTTTGGAATGTGCTGAGAATGAAGAACAATGTTCACGATGCTGCTGTGTGAGGTGGAACTTTCAGAACGCGTCCTTGACTGGGCCAACACTTCTCCTAGCTTACAGCTCTAACAACCACTTATTTAATACAGTAGTAAAAGCTGAGCAATACTGATAAAACTGTTCTCTCAATATTTATGGTGTGGTGATGTTTCAGTTGTGACTATGGGTAGTTTCCGTGTGTGTAGTGCAGCCTTTAAGACCAAGTTAATACAATATTTAAGGTACGTCAAAATAATATCACAAGAAAACGCACAACCCAGTATTGATTTTCTATTTATCGATCTCTAAGTTTTAAGTTTTAATTATGAGGGTTTCCTTTCAGACCACAGCTTTTCAAAGGCAAAACTTAAGTCTGCAGTCCCTCCTCCTCCACAGACTCACTCTCTGGATTATAGAGGTGTAGTCAGTTTGTTATGGTAATAACGGTCCGCTGCGCTCTCCTCACCTTCTCTTCTCGCCCTCAGGCCTGCTCTCTCTGCTGCATTCCCTCCCCAATGATCTCTCCCTCTCTCTCTCTCGGCCCAGTAAGGCGACCCATTCATCAATAATTGATAATTGGCAGGGACAGGTGAGATGGAGAGGCAATTTGTAGAGAGTATGGTGTGGGTGCACTGCCAGGAGATTGGCTCAGAGGAGGAGGAGGACTGAGGTTGGGGAGTTGACTTGTTACTCGAGGACGCACAGCCAGGAGCCAGGTGGAAGGGCCCGTCTGCTGTGTGTCTCATGGGCTTCCACCATTTCAGACTAAAGATCAGTTATTTGGGGATCGCTTGTTCATTTGGGAAAAAGCTGATTTCTGGGTCAGTGGTTAGGAAAGAGGAACTGAGCCAATTTCCTATGAAAGGACACTGGAGATGTAACGTTCCTCCCCTTGGTGAGCTTTCTTCCCCCTGCCCCATCTTCTCCTCCATAGACTGCATATAAAGATGTATATATATATATATATATATATATATATATATATACATACATCAGTGTAATAAATGACCTTAAATGACAAAACCGCTTAAAGAAAATTTACTTTAACGTATGCTTGACTTTTTCTTTTGGTCCATGTCTGATCCACTAACACGGAGGAGGCAGGGTATGAGACCTGTAACAGCCAGGCCCAAGGTTTAATTTTTAAGTTAAGTTTATGTAATTTAACTTACAAAAATAATAATTAAGATCAGCAGGTATTCAAGTTCTCCGTCGGTGTTGTCACATTTTAACAGAGCATGTTATTTTAGCCAAAAAACAAATCTCCTTCAAAGAGAGAGAAGAGTTTCTCTGAATCCTCTCTGGTTTAATGTATTTTTAATCTCTTTGCTTTTTAATAAGGTCTTCTCTAGAAGTTAAACAAAATCCCTTCATCTCCTAATCCTCCATTTGTTTTGTTTCATGCCAGAGCACCTTACTCCAGTGTATATTTTGAGGGCTTGCTCTGAGGTGATGACCAGAAAAGGTGCAGCTCATTACATTTTTATGAAATATTAGGCTTGTTAAGCTTCAGGTTTAACAAGCAGAGGTGCTACATCACACAGGAAAACCACCGCTGGCTGTGGGAAGATTGAATGGGCAGTTTTAACAGCGCCTTGACATTTCATAGACCTGAATTAAAGACTAATAGAAGTAAAAGAATGGCTCGGGTGCAGAACGCATGGATTAGATCATCGAGTCCCTGGAGTGACCCCTCTACTGTAACTTTCAAAAGAAGGCTTGAAATTACAGAAAATTGCCAGATTAAACTAAGATAATTGGCAGAGTAATTGACGTGGAAAAAAACTGCAGATTAGTCGCAAAGCTGGGCAGCGCTTCATGTCGTGCTCAAAGTACAACTTAACAATTTGAGGTCTTCATATAATTGTGCTCGAATGGGTTTGCTTGGTAATGTTCGTGGAGCTCGTATTAGAAAAACGAACGAATGGCTTATGTGCTGTAAGTAGAGCTATAGAGATGCATCTGCTGACATTAGCTCATTGCAGATATGTCTGAATCTTTGTGTAGGTTCGCCGATACGTAACAAGGAAGTGCTGCACAGAAATGCTAAGCTAGGTCTGAGGTCATGTGAAAACAGTGTCACTGTTGACTGTATCCCTGAAAATGAAACAAGAAAGGTAAAGACTGTGGTCATCATGTGCTTGTAACATCTTCATTTAGAAAAATATCAGCTATATAATTATCAGCCCTTTTTTTTTTGTATTCCCAAATATCAATTTAAAGAAATCCTGGATTCAGTCACGTCGTTACCTGGAACAACTCGCATGTCGTTATTATTCTGCAGCAGTTTTTCCTCTTCTTCTTCTTCTGCATATTTTTTGTGTTGCCGCCATTCATTTTTCATGGAGTTCATTTTCTGTCCTTTTTCATTTCGATCAAACTGCTGTGAAAAATATACACATCTTGGTTTGAAGAGGTTTTGCAGCGAGTGAGTGGCGAACGTTCTTTTCTCCTTAAAAGTAAAAACATCTTTTGCTAATCATGAATCTACTCAGTTTATGCAGCTGGAATTTGATTCAGTTTTGCTGAATATTGTTATATTTCTTTTCAACTGGAAGTAAACATCTTAAAATGTAAAGGTAGAACATACACTCCAATTTAAGAAAGAGGTGCTAGTATCCTTGTAACATATGTTTTGAGTGATAATACTCAATATTAGTTTTCAGTATTAGAAAACTAACCTAAACAGAGATGAACCCAACAAGTTGGTTTTTTTTTGTTCCAAACCCAACCCCGATATTTTCCCTGATGCTGTGTAAAAAGTTGACAGCTCAGCCAATGTGATCGAGGCCGACACATACCCCAATATCATTTCAAGATTTTTATCCGACCGGCGGGTCAGGTGTCCTCGCTCTAACACACATGCATATTAAAGTAAATGTCTCTCTAACTCACGTGGTTGATGTCCACACACATTTTGTCTCCTCGCTCACACTCACCTTCCTACAACTTCCCACCTCAGCTCGTATTCTCTTTAATCTTGTTTTTCTCGTATTAATAAGCTCGGTCTATATTTTGTTGCTTTTATGTGGCAGAAGATGGAGGGAGGCCCATGCTGTGTGTGTGTGTGTGTGTGCGTGCGTGCTTTCTTTGGGCACTGATAGTGTGTGTGTGCTGGGTGCTGAGAGCTGGGCAGAGTGAGGGAGTGAAGGAGTACTTATTGATTTTGGCCACACATCTCTTCTCCTGAAAATCCCTTGATTGCTTTTGTTCTGCTCCCCGTCTCCCTCTTTCTGTCTCGCTTCCTCTAATGAAACTCCAAATGAATTGGAGCACGTACCGAGTGCTTTCTCTCTCTCTCTCTCTCTCTCTCTCTCTCTCTCTCTCTCTCTCTCCACCCGTTTAACTTCTGTTTTCATTCTCCTTTTCACTCTCTCTGAGCCCGTCTTTGTCTCTCGCTCTCTCGCTCTCCCCGCTGATTTCTCTATCGCTCCCCTTACTCCTCTCCCCCCTCTCCCACTCGCTGTCTTTACGTCTCTGTCTTCATCTCATGCTCCCTTGCTCTTTATCACTTTTGTCACACTTCTCCCCCTTCTTTGCTCTTCTTTCCTATTTTATCTGTCTCTCTGTTTATCTGTTTCCCTGTCTATCTCACCTTCTCTCCTCCTGTCTCCCACCTTAATTTCTTTCTTATCCACAGATGAGGACGAGCATGTGGAGTGGAGATGTTGCCTACGGGCTGCAGCAGCTAAATCTGTGTAGAATGACTTAGGCGCATGGCCGGAGAGCCCTTCATCTGTTGCTCTGTCCATTCATACTTGGACAGTTTGTCACTCAGTAACATTGTCTCTTACTTATTACTGTACATAATTGTTGTGAGTGGCACAGGGATCTTTCAAGATTTCCTTTTTAATCCAGGCGGCCGGGAGCCCCTCAAGGTTAAACGTTTGGATTAAAAGAAAAATCTGCAGTGTCGTACCTCCAGGAACTGACTGGAGAAATAATGATCAATCAACAACATAATCTTAAGAGGAAACTGAAGCAGTTTCACACATGAAAGGTCAGTTTACGAGTCAGGTGGTGTACTTCTCTTCTTCAGCCCGTGAAAACAATCGTTTCACGTCTTCTGTGGTTCTCAAGGCTCTTTGTCAATCTGAGGACGTAACAATGATGTTATCATTGCAGCATGAGGCCTGCGTTACAATGCGGCGGTACAAGGTTTTAAGGTGGACAGGGGCTAATGAAAAACTACTATTGTTTGTCCGATTGGAAACGAAAGATCCAACATTTCTGTCAGAAATTCAGTTTAAATCTTCTGGTTCTTTTTATTTTTAATTTATAATCAGATGTTTGTACTTTACGTGATAGAGACTCTTATTTCTCTATTTCACCAGGGATACAATATACTAGCATGTTTTGTTCTATATAAAGATGTGTATTTCAGGCTGCAACTTTTCAATATGGATTAAATAAATAATAATGTGACAATAATTGTAATGATAATCGGTGTAAACTCATAGGAAAATTGTAGTTAATATGTTTTTTGACCGCATCACCCAGCCCGATAATTTCAGATCTGAATTACATCCCTCTCAGATTTCTTTAGTAAGTTTATCGCTCACAAATGCAGAACCACCTAAATAATAATATATTGAAAACACTCCTGAAAAGCACTGAAATGTTGGAGGATCCTCAGGAGACAGACAGGAGTGTGAATCTGTAAATAATTCTGTGATCAGGGTAGAAACAGAATTAAGAGAGAACCTGAGCCCGGTGTAGAGGGATTCATGCTGCACGAACCATGTGGACGGACTCGGTGAGATTTTATGTAAAATACCTGTGTTTGTACTGTTTACACAAGTGTCCCTCTCCCCGGGGACTTCATTGTTCTGGCTCATCAAATGTGCATCCGTGTGTGTGTGTGTGGCTGCAGCCTATACATTTTGCCAGTTTTCCCCGTGGGCACCATTGTTCCACCTCATCTGATCTACGTACGTTTGACCTTTGCCCCCCTCTTTTTTTGCACCCAGGGGAGCTGGAGGAGGAGATGGAGAATCCAGAGATGGCGGACCTCCCTGAGAAACAGAAACACCAGCTCAGACACAGAGAGCTGTTCCTGTCCCGCCAACTGGAGTCTCTACCTGCCACACACATCAGGTACACCACAGCGCACCTCACTGGTAGTACACCACTAAATGGTGGGCTGTAGTTTTGAGTCATTCGGTCTATTCCAGGTTTTTTTCTTTGTTTTTGTGCACGTCTTTCTACAAATACATTTTGATTCGCTCCGAGCATTGTTTTGACAGCAAAAACAGATCTCGGGCTGCGACTGAAGCCGCATCTCTTCTTTTGAGCTACTGTCGAGTATAAAATTTCCAATTATCTCAAAACGGGAGAAACTGATAGACAATGAATAATACAAAAATCTATAACTGCCATTGAAAATGCTGTAAACAAATGCCATCCCATTTTTTTTTTTTTCTGGTCCAAAACTTCCTGATTTTTTTTCACAGGCTCTTTTCTTTTAATTTTTTTCTTTCCATCATTTATAGTAGCAGAGAGAATAGGGACAGACAGGAAACGAGAGAAGAGAGACAGATATGACGAGCAACAAAGGTGCGTGGCTGGATTTGAGTTTGTGGATGTTTTAGTTATGTGGTATCCCACTTAACCATTCAGCTATCAGGTGGCTGTCACCACCATGTTGAGCCTGACAGCCTGGCTCACCCTGTCGCACACACACACACACACACAGTAATATACTCGTTATTTAGTTGGAGTCATGTTCTAACACTTATGAGTTACAATACTACATTAATACAACTTTATAATCATCAAGGTAAACTCCATGGCAGATTAGTTGCATTGAATTCCATGAGCCATCACTGGTGTACCTAATAAAGTGCACAGTAATTGTGTTGCTTTATCATTAAGTAGCAGTAAGTGCTGACATTTGGGGGCTGATCCCAATATTAAGGAGTAAAAATGACCCAATGCAGATATATTGATCGATACATATGTTTTGGAAGTGATTCAAGATGTTGTTATCAAAACCCTATGACAAATAAATAAAATGAAGGCTTTATGTTTTACAGTTATTATAAATAACTAAACAAATATATGGAACTTAAACATTAAACAAGAAACTCAGGCACAAAGTGATCCACTTATATCTGACGTTGAGCATTAAGTGTCAACAGAAAGACATTTCTACATATAGAGCTACCTTCGCACATTAGTAAACTCCAGGCAGTCCCACTTAATCATCAGCACATTATTACTTGACAGATCTGTGGAGTCGGAGGAAGACGGAACTGACATCTGCTCGAGTAAAAATAGTCTGAGACGTTTGTTTAGTGTGAATTCAAGCTCGACGAAGTTTTCAAACTGAACGCGAATGTGCGGCGAGGTTACACAACATGAGTGCATCACTCTGCCAAATTGTCTTTGCCTCATGCTGGAGAGGTTTGAGTAATTAGCCGGTAAATAATTTGAGTCCTGACAGACGCAGTGAAGGGACAGTGCTGGATCACGATTTGTCACAGAAACGGACCGTGCCAACTGGAACCAAATTAAAATCATTGTTGCAGAATTTTAGATGCATTCACATCAAAGTTTGATCTCACGCAGTTTCTCTAGCTGATACGAGTCTGGTCCAGACTTGCAGCTTTTCATCCTGCACTAATGTTACCAGTTATCCCACGGACTCTAATTTGTCTGTGTTTCACGTTAAAGATTCACTCTCTCCTCGTCCTCTCTCTCCTCTTTATCTTTTTCTCACCAATTATTTGTCCTTCTGTCCTTCCTCACCATGTCCCTCTTTACCCCTCCCTTATTTTCCCTCTGTTATTTCTTTTGCTGGACTCCAGGGGGAAGTGCTGTGTGACTCTGCTGAATGAGACTGAAGCCCTGAAGTCCTACCTGGACAGAGAGGTACGTGCACGGCAGCATGATGCCGCGTCCTAAACTGTGATTAGGTGCGTGAAGAGTTATGAGTTTAGAGATTCTTGTTTCGAGATGAATTATTCAGAGTGTTGACCCAGAATGTTCTGTTCACACACAGTAATGAGGAGATGAGAGACTTGCAGTGAGGAAACACACACACACACACACACACAGATAGATACTCTCCTCTTTCGCCTCTCCGTTTTCCAATCTCTCTTCCTGTTCCTTTCATTGCATCCTCACACCTTCCTGCCATCTGTATTTCCCAGGATGCCTTCTTCTACTCGCTGGTGTATGACCCTCAGCAGAAGACTCTGCTGGCTGATAAGGGCGAGATCCGCGTTGGGAACAAGTACCAGGCCGACATCACCGACCTCCTGAAAGAAGGTACGCTGAGCTTCAGCCTCCTTTTAATTGACTTTATTTAGTCCACGTCTTCCTGCCCGGGACTTTTTACCCTGCGGTGAACTGAGATGTATTTTTCTTTAAAGCAGTTTCTCAGCATTAACAGGGCGGCCTCAGCCATAAGCGACTATTTCACTTTTTTGCAACTGCTCAATTCTCAGGAAAACTTTATGAAAACTTGCGAACTTTACCTCGGCTTCTTGTGCCCCGAGCAAGTGGATACAAAAAAGTTACAAAAAAAAAAAAACAACCTTATCCCGAGTTTCCATGGCAACCGCATTGTGGCAGCGTGATTATACATGATCAGAGCATTTACAATAATAGATCACTGTCTTTATGTTCTGCATAGCTGATGATTTTACAGCCACAGAGAAAATACAAGGAGGATGAGGCAACTAATGAATAATGTGACCTGTAGACAGCTTGGTTAGTTAGCATTCGTTAGCATTTTCTCATTGAAGCTTTACACTGGGGGGTAATTTTTAAAAAGATAATTAATTAATGAAGAAAAGTAATTGTCTGCATCTGTGTGTTTTCATGTAGATGAGGGCGACGGCAGAGAGCTGGAGAAACTAGAGGAGAAGATCTGGGACCCAAACAGCTCACTGACAGAGAAACAGATCGACCAGTTCTTAGTTGTTGCTCGGTAAGTCGACATGTGGGACATTTTCTTATTTGCCAAGAGTTAGTTGACACCACTGTCATGTTGGTGGTTAGCTTAGCTTAGCACAAAGACTGGAAACAGAGGGAAACCATTAGCCTGACTCTGCAACAACAAAGCAGAAACCGTCTTCTTCTGTGAAAAATGCTCGATAAAATGTCTTTATTTTCTTGATCATTGAAATAAGTTTATTATAAATGATATGATTTACACAAAGACGTTCATATGCACACATATGATGTTCAGTTGAGGTAGGAATGGAAAAAAAAATTTCTTTAGAACTTCAGACTGTTAAGTTGTGAGTGAGTGAGCTCGGCTAGCTGTTTCACGTTTCCTCTCTTCATGCTTAGCTAAGCTAGCCTTCTTCTTCCTCATGCGTCATAATTAAGTCACAAAAGTGATATTGATCTTCTCACGTAATCCTCAGCCAGAGAGTAACTATGTGTATTCAACTAAATGTCTCAAACTTCTCCTCATATATGCTAATCCTTCTTCCTTTTCGTTCCTCCTGTTTAAGAGTCGAATGTGTTTGCTTTGCAGTTTTGTGCTCGTGCTAACTGACTTTATTGTGGAAATGCTACTGAATATTTTATCAGGAAGCTCTGGATTTAGGAATTTTGCTGATTTGTCTTGCAACATATTTTGGGAATGAGTAGTTCAGTGTATGACCTTTATGAAACTACATGAAACACCAACTCCCGATGGAGACAGTAAAACCCAAAGTTTGTCTCCCAGCTCTTCCTTTATCTTTAATGTCACGTCCGTGTCCCATAGGTCAGTCGGCACATTTGCCAGAGCGTTGGACTGCAGTAGTTCTGTGCGGCAGCCGAGCCTTCACATGAGCGCAGCTGCAGCCTCCAGAGACATCACCTTGGTGAGATATACACACGTGCACACACATGAAAATGGCCTCAGGTTAAAGCTGCATCACACCACAGAGAGAGAGAGAGAAGCAAGGCAGTTAACCAAAGGAAAAGTGTCTGTAGTGCACATGTGTTTGTGTGTGTGTATATGTGTGTGTTGGTTAATGATTGTTGAGGCCTGTGTCTGGTTATCCTTAACAAGCACTTGGCCCCAGAAGCCTTGTGTGGGTCTATTCTGCCCTAGATCTTATCCTCATATATAAAACATAGATGAGAGGCCTCCTAGCTACACACACACACACACACACACACACACACACACACACACACACACGAGCCCAAAGGGGCTGAGAATAAACACTGTGGATGGAGCAAACAAAAATGTCATTCTAAGAAGTCAGCAGAATATCGCAGAACTTTACGACTTTATTATCAACACGAGGAAGTTCTGAGAATGACATGCCCATTATTTCTATTTTCTGTTTAGTTTCATGCCATGGACACACTCCACGCCACGGGCTATGACATGACTCGAGCAATCGCAGCGCTCGTGCCTCAGGGTGGGCCCGTCCTCTGCAGGGATGAGATGGAGGAGTGGAGCGCCTCTGAGGCCAACCTGTTCGAGGAGGCACTAGAGAAATACGGCAAAGATTTCACCGATATCCAACAGGATTTTGTGAGTAACGAGCATTTAAGAAATTATCCAGACATTTTATGAAATGTGCTCATTTGGTTTCTCGCTGCAAGTCAGATGACGAGGTGATACAACACTCATTTGTGTTAGCAACAGGTCAGGTAGCTCAGTATAAAGACTCAGACAGAGAGAAACACTTGTGTGTGATACTTCTGTTTGCCTGTGAACGTCGTCGTGATGAAATGAGTCCCACATTGTGTCACTTTTCCTTCGAATTAATCAAATGAAATATATCGTTAAATGTTATATTAATTTAATAGCTATGTAGTAAAGACACTGCATATTTACAAATCATTGTACTAATTCAAGGAAATTAAAAAATCTCCTATCAGAAAGACACAAGAAGTCAATTTAGAGTCTCCAATGAAATTATTTATAATTATGTAATTGTCTTAAGTTTAATTGGAGACTCTAAATTGACTTCCGTTGTGGACGTGTCTCTGTATGTTGAACCCCGCCTCGCCTCCTCAACCCTTAAAGCACTATTGATATTCATATTGATTTCTAGAAAACCAATTAGAAGAATATTTTTCCAAAATGTCTGGAGGTGTCAAGGCTTTATTTTTTGAACCTGGTGGTTTTTGAGAGTTTTCCAAAGTCCTTTGTGCTTCAACAAATCATAAAGTGTAGTGATGCACTGAAGACATATTGAGTATGGTATGTATGCTGCTCATCAGCAGGCCTGCTTGTGTGTGGATCCCCAAATGTCATTTGGAGACGTGTACAGTAAGTCTTCAGTGCACTCACCCATTATTTATTGCAGAAACCACAGAACGAGAGCTGAAATGTGCCTCAGACGTTTGGCCTTCGTTTAGCTCATTAGCTTTTATACAACGTTAAAGCACAATCGTAGGCTTGTGAACTAATGCTGCAGTCGACTCGTACTGAAGAGTGCAAATGCTAAAGCTGAGAACGATCACCGTTTATCACCGAACACATCTCGAGCGCATATTTTTAAAGTGTGATCGTGACTCAAACTGCAGGAGCGAGAAGCCGTCATCTCGCTGTAGCTCGTCTTCGTCCTCTGCGCTCTCAGCTTGAGGTGCCGCTGCCCTTTGTGGAGCTGCCTGCTTCAGCTCTCAACGTGTGCCTCACTCCACCACCTGGTGGCCGGCTGCCGTCCGTGCCGCTCACTCGCTCTCTTCCTCCCGGGCCTTCTCTCAAACAACAGGACTACACCACCATTATGGGTGGGGCTAGACTTGACAGCTCCTTTTCCTCCTAAACTTCTTACAGAGACGTTTACAGAACGACTTCAGCATGAAGAAGATTTATTTATTTATTTATAAAGAAAAGAAGCTATTTAATAACTATTATATTTGCCTCGTTCACTAAGATCTAATGATTCTTTTCAATACCTCTTTAGTTATTTTCTTTCTCTGTCTTTGATTGAGTTTACTTTCAACTTCAGCTCATAGTTAATCTAAAAGCTGTTTCTGATAAATATAATTTACTGCTGGATTAATTTATTTTGTTTTCCTGGTTTTGTGTGGATAATGCTTGCAACATAATTATTATGGTTAGGATTTTTAATTTTTAAGTTACAATCTTTAAGTTCGTTGTTCTGCATGTTGTTTTATTGATTACATTTGCCAGGGAGGTTACGTTTTCATTGCTGTTGCAGGATTACACAAAAAATATTGAATATATCATAATAAATAATTGAGTTCAAGTAAAGGGGCGGATGCAGGATTTTTTTTCATTTGTCACCATCTTAGACATTGCAAGCTATGGCTTTTTTGTAGTAGTACTTTGTGTTAATTTCTGTTTTCTTGAAATAAATTAAAAAAAACTAGTAATTGTAGAAAGCTACAAAGATTTGTGCTGTAAAGTTCACACAAGGTTCGGTTCTGAAAGCTTTCTGAAGGTTTCCAGGTGGTCACAGTGAACTCACCAGCTGCCTTGAAAATGTTGAAGCAGAAGCTCTTGACAGTCGAGGCCCTGTTGAAAACTTTTCATGCTCGCTCACGTCATCCAGATTTTCTGGGGGAGAGTGAAGATCAGTGACGTCTGAAATAACATTTTGTTCTTTCACTGAAATAATGATAATAATTCTCCTTTTCCTTCGTCTGTAGTTGCCCTGGAAGTCCCTGACGAGTATTATTGAGTATTACTACATGTGGAAGACCACAGACAGATATGTACAGCAGGTAAAAACATCAATTACACACTAAAGGTTTAAGAAAAGAAATGTCTTGATGCCATTTATAACGGGCTCTATTTTTTTCATGATACATTTACTTTCCTTACAGTAGAAATAATTAAAAATAAAAATGATCAGAAACATGTTTATTCATATTTATAAATTGTTCAAAGATCAATATATAGTTTAAACGTGTCCCAAACTCGCGGTCTGAACTTTTCCTCTCTCCCTCCAACTCGTCTTCTGTCTCTGCTCCAGAAACGATTAAAAGCAGCTGAGGCAGAAAGCAAGTTGAAGCAGGTCTACATCCCGAACTAGTGAGTGGTTTATGACTAATGTGTTTAATTATGTTCATCAGAGTTCAAGTGTTTAAAGTTCAGAGTTGATCTTAGCTACGTTTCTGTGATCAGTCGGAGCAGGCGCCTCGTTCTCTCTGTTATTATTCACGACAGCGTGAGTGAGCGTGGCTGGAGGCTGATGAATGTCCAGTCGGTCTGTCTGGTCCTTATCGCTCTGACCCCGTCTTTGCTTCTGTGCCCCGACAGTAACAAGCCAAACCCCAACCAGCTGAGCAACAACGTAAAACCGCCTCTGGTGAACGGAGCAGCGGTCGCAGGGGTCCCAGGACCTCCAGGCTCGGTCCAGACCCCCGGCCTGGGCAGAGCCTGTGAAAGCTGCTACAGTGAGTCATTTGTACACAGACATCATGTCACAACATTTGCTTCTGTCTCTTCATGTTCTTAAGAAGTTATCCAGTATTGGCCCGACTGAAGTTGGATTAAACTTGCTTTTAACTTAGTGTACCCATCACGGCTGCCTCACGTATCCTGCGTCAGTTTAGTACGTCGGCTTTGCAAATCCTCAGAAAGTCTGCAAGATGCAATACGGCCTGAAGAGTAGGGGCAGTACGCAACCAGATCGCAAACCCAGAAGTTCTACACAGTCTGAGTTCTGTGGTATACCCTCTAGTGGAATACTCTGGTATCTTGCCTAGTACACAGCAAACACGTTTATACAAGTTTATCTCGGGTCTTAAGTGGACCTGTCTACATCCTGGATAGACTCACTCCTAATTGCATCCTGTTCATATTGTCTTCCTCTGAAATTCACTTCTGTGTACACACAGTAACACACCGTCCTTTTAAATTCATCAGACAAAACAATAAACATAACATTAAAACGTCATTAAGAACACGAGGGAGGTTGTGTGATCGACTGTATCGACGTCTAAAATGATCACAGAGAGCATCAGGCGCCACTAGAGGTTGTGATCTTAAATTTACACACAGTCCCCCAGCTGAGGACGGGCGGGTTCATTTCAGAGATCAGTGAAGATTCAGTTTCCGGTGTACTCACTAAATTCAGAAGCTACTTAACTATAATTATCCACATGTTAGAAAATCGAATATTTGGATGAGAAAATCACACGTGAATGAGTTGAACAGGGAGAAACGTGTAGACGGAGTTTCTTTGTTCATGTGATGTGATGCTGTGAAAGGTTTGTTTGCATCGTTCGTTATGAAGACGGGACTCAAACAGCGGCAGACCTTCAGTACACTGAGCATTAGTTATTTCATAAACATTATTTCAGTGTCCTTTTTACTGCTTTGTCGATGTAATATCTCAGCAACTAAATGGACTAAACACTGAATCGATCATTTGGCTTATGCTCTTTAATAAATCTTAAAAATGGACTTTGAGATTGAGACGTCTCTGCACTGACTTCTGTGAAGAGCTCGGAAGAACTGTGTCTGCACGTGGATCACATTTTAATTGAATTACTACACGGAGAGAAAAGAGGAGCGTTACATGCCCCGCAGCAACGTATTGTTGGAGTTATTTTAGTGGTTGTACTTAATTCAGTGATGAATGATTAAAGGTTGTGTGCCCGCCCGCACGCCTCTGAGATCACCTTCGTGATTATATGTGGATCAGTAATCACGATGAGTCTGTGTGTGTGTCTGTGTGTGTGTGTAGCCAGCAGCTCCTATCAATGGTACTCGTGGGGACCTCCCAACATGCAGTGTCGCCTGTGCGCGTCATGCTGGACCTACTGGAAAAAGTACGGAGGGCTGAAGATGCCCACGAGACTGGAGGGAGAGAGGCCCGGACCCGCTCGCAGCATCATGGTACACACTCACATGCTAACACACGAAAACACACGCTACTGTGAAGGCTTCTAAAATACGCTGTTGATGCGTGTGACATTGTGTCGTCTGCCCCTCCAGAACCCCCATGGCCTCCCCATGCGCCACAGCGGCAGCCCCAAGTTTGCGGTGAAGACGCGACAGGCCTTTTTCCTGCAGACCACCACGGTGACGCGGATGACTCGCCGCCTCTGCCAGGATATCATACGACCGCGGTACCTGGCCAGGCACCCATACCTCCCCGTCAACACAGCAGCCATCAAGGCCGAATGTAAGACTCTTAATGACAATATCACGCGCACTCTACCAGCTCCGTGCCTGGGTGAACACTGTGTTCGAGTTAAATAAAAGAAGCACAGATGTTTTATAAGCGTTTCTCTTATTCCCTGCACCTCCACTGTGTCATTCATTTGGTTTTTTTTGGCTGTTCTCTTCCACTGGTTTCCTGCAGGTGCCCTGCGGGTGCCAGAGGGGCCTAAAAAGCCTTCACCACTGAAACCTGTGGAACGTAAACCTCTGGAGTCTGTGGTTCGATATTTAGGTAAAAAGAAGCAGAAGTCACTTCAACCAGGCAAAACATGTGTGAAACTGTGATTCATATTCATGATCTTCAGAAATATGTCAGGGTGAAAATCTTCAAATCTTTTATATTTTGAAATGTGGGACATGATTTACGCTGCTTACACATCTGGCGTATAAGTAAAACACTTGAAGATCAGCGTCAGAGGAAACCCTTTCATTTGGTAAATTGCAGCTGGCATGTTCCGTATTCGCGGAAACGGGCCTCGGTGCAATAAAAGCACGAATCTGGCCTCTTGTTCCAGGTCAGCAGTTGAAATTAATGAGTCACTTATGTTGATTTAATTCTCTTTTTGTTTTCCTCTGTCGCTCTTTGTCGTCCTCTCTGCTTAACTACGTGTTTTCCCGCCTCTTCTCCTCTCTCGCTCTCTCTGCGTTTCAGAAGCACACCCCTGTCCAGTCAAGCCCAACCCTCCAATCCGCGGGGCGTCCATCTCTACAGGCAGCCTGACGCCCATAAAATCCTCCCCCATCCTCAACAACGGCTCCCCCACCATCCTGGGCAAACGCTCCTACGAACAGCACAACGGACTGGATGGTGAGTGACAGGAGACGGGAGTAAACGTTTTCTTTCACCGTTTCATCGTTTTAGTTTTCTCAAATTCAAGTCGTGATTTTCGACTCTTTGTTAAAGGAGCACTCCAACAATTTTACGCGTGAAGTTCAATGTGCGCTTCACGAGATGAACAGAACGACTCTCAGAAGCTCACACAATAGATCAGGATCCTGAACATCTGCATTCTTTAGTTTGTTTGGACACAGAAAACCACTGGATGGATTTCTGTGAAACTTGCTTGAAGGATGGGTCAGGGAAGAACCCAATGCATTTTGATCAGGGGGCAGATCCAGGGTTTTTAATTTTTACAATAATTCAAGGATCTTGATGAAAGAAATAGAAATATTTAGTGGACTGATATTTACGAGCGTGTGGATCCAAATAAAGATCCAGATCTAGTAGAATGAAACGATAAGAGGTGTGTGCTCTACGGAGGAACATTCTGAAATGTAATAAATCATTAGCTTTAAAACTGATTTTAATGTATTTCAACGTTGTTTAACTAATTTCAGCCTAATTGAAGTTATTTGAACTGTATTAACACAAACTAAATTATGTTGCATTAAACATGAGAGCTCTAATGTCTCCGCTGCACACGCTGCTATTAGAATATCCGAGTGTTCAGGCTCGTCTGAGCTCGTATGAGATCCACAGCCGAAGGGTTAAGAGTTTGTGTGGTTCTCGGATTTTTTTTTTTTTTTTTTGGGTTACGTCCCACTTTCCCTCTCCCCTGTGAAACGAGAGAGGGGAAGAGACAGACTGAGAGATCAAGAGAGGGAGAGTATGCCAGAGAGAGAGAGAGAGAGAGAGAGAGAGAGAGAGCGAGAGGGGGATCGGATCGGCCTTGCTGCTTTAGCTGGAGGCTACAGTCTATGTTGTCATGGTAACTGCAGAGAGGAGGAAGAGAAGGAGGAGGAGGAGGAGGGCTCAGTAAGTATATCCTGAGGGAGAGCGTCTCCACTGGTCTGTGAGTCCACCTCAGGCCGAGGCTGGAACAACACACCAGCAGGAGATTTGAGATTTGAAATGAGAATTAGGGATTTTTATATTTTTATTCCAACACAAACGTGTCATTATTCGTAGATCTGAGTGGAGGTGAAAAGGTTTTGACAGACGTGTTTATCTTTTATTATTCTTCAAGTGTTCACTCATCAAGTTCTTGGATTCTTTTTGTTGTTTTAGTTGTTTGGAGATTTTCTGGCTTTACTGCTTGAAAAAGTTGCGTGTTGTTTATTTAACCTCTCGTGCAGGTGAATTGTGTTCTAACTCGCTGCTGCTCATTCAATCACGGTTTTTCTATCATTTAATTATCATCTTTCTCTTGGTTTGGATCCATGTCTGCTTTTAGCTAATCCATTAGAGCCGTACCGATTTATCAGCTGGCAGATATTAATCTTTAATTTTGAATATGATATTCTGGCCAAGATATCGTGATCAGAACGTTTGTTGCTGCCTTCTATCAGTGACTGCATCGGCCGCCAAACGTCCATATCGGTCGAGCTTCAGAATCTTATTTGCAATTTGTCAAATTGATGAAGCAGAACGTTTTATAGTTTTATAGTTAACTGGTGTTTGACAAACACAATCTGCTGTTGGTTGAGGAAACTATAAACTGTGTGAGTGTTCAGTGAGGGGGAATCATAAATACATTTTTATATCTTTTTAATAAATGTTTACTTATGTCTGTTAATCACATGATGGTTCATTAAAAAGTGATTGTTTGACATTGATTTCTTAAAGTGCTGTAAAGTTACATTTGCTCAGAAACCTGTAGAAAGAAGTGACCTGATGAGAGTTCGGCCAAATACACTTTCAAATAAATTAAAGTGACAGTGAAAGTAAATGAAATCAGATCCAAACAGAAAGTATTTAAAGGAGCCGCTAGGGGGCAGAAGATTGATAAACAATATGTGGCGGCAGCAGTGGACTGTGTTTCGACTGAAGATGTGTGTTTCACTCCTCTTCCTCCTCTTCAGGCTCTAAATCTAAAGTCCTGGCTCCTCAGTGGGACATCATGGCCAAGCGGATGAGCGAGGTGGGGCGATCTTCGGCCTCGCTGCAGGACGAGATACACGAACTGGACTGAACGCTCAGAGGAACAACCTCTACTGCAAACCTCAGTCAGGTAATGACAGTAAACATGTTGGTAATATGGAAGTGCTGGGCTGTGTGAGGAAAAGTATTCTGTCAGGTTTAGTTGTTCTGCAGCTGTTTAATTCAGTGTTAGGGTTATTTTCACCTTCTCATCATCACAACTTCAACAAGACTTGTAGTTTTATCATTGATTGATTATTATTTACTGATTGCTACTGATTGTTTGCAGTATTCAGCCTTTACTCCTCACTTTGTTATTTTTATATTTATTTTGTAAATGCACATTTTCCTCTAGAACTGTATATTTTATTACTAATTTAACTTCTTTATTTTTTTGACTATGTAGGTTTTTATATGATTGTAGTTGTGTCACCTGTGTCACATTAAAACACGTTAAATCTTGTCATTGCAGGTTAGTGTTATTGTGTAATCGATAGAATGTGTTTGACGTCCAGAGAACTTCTGTTAATCGTTTCCTCTGCGTCTCTGTCTCAACAGAGGGGGGGGGGTGAGATGGAACGTGTTTTCCACTGAAGTCGAGGGCAGCTGAGTGAAGACGAAGCTGAGAGGAGACGACAACATGGGCCACATTTCTTCAGCCAGTACGAGTCTGTGAGGCGACTGACGAGCGATCCATCGATAATCGATCAGTGTGGCTGTGGTCAATCAGAGGACTGACTGTACAGGACTGTGTTTATTACTCACATTTCTTGTTATTACTGTCATTGTAATTATTGTTATTGTTATTATAAGTTTTTTTTTTTACCAACTATAACTCAGCTTATTGTTTGTCGATCAAACGAAGGAACTTTTAAAGTTTCATAAAAAATGCTTGCTAACCCCTGTGGAAACGGGTGGAAGGACTGTAACATAAGCCACTTGCATCTTCTCTATGTCTGTTTTCTTGTTTTCTTCTTTTTTCTTTAACAATTTCAATTCAACGAGGAGACGCACTTTGATTTCAGTGACACACGTTAACTCCTCGTCTTTTGGTTTCGATGAATTCGAATTCGCTTTACGGGAAATCTTAGGTTTTGTGAGCCGGCCCTGATCTTCGGCCAGAGAGGTTTAACTTATTGAGAAAGACTTGCTGTTTTTTCTACCTTTTTCACAAGTAATGCATCTATGCTTCAATAATGTAATTAAAAAAGACAATTGATTTTCCCTCTTCTTCTGAAGTCTGTGCTCTGAGGTGGGATTTCTTTTTTCAGGCTCACACACCAGGAGTGAAAACAGGGTTTATGAAAAATGACAGATTTTTATTACCTTTCGCCAAAGAGCGCACGTTTTCATCAGCGTTTGTTTGTTAGTCGGCAGCATCACAGAAAAACTACTGAACAGATTTCCATTTTTGCGAGAGGGTCGTGGGACACGGCCCGAGGAAGAATCCATTAAATTCTGGAGTGGATCTGAACAAATAGGCGCTTCCAGGATGTTTTGTTTCACTTTCTTTGTTATGGTGAGAGCAGTCGTCTTCACAGTTTAACCAGTACTACAGTGAAACACTCGTCACAGTGAATCCGTCAGTTTTTCAGAGAACATATAACAATATACCAGCAACACATCTGCTTCTGACCGTGATCTCTGATTTATCATCTTTATACATTTAGATGTTGAGTTCTCGACCTTGGAAACAGCAGATATAATATAATATATAATATAATAATATAAATGAAGATAAAACACACCTCAGCACAAATTCATTACATTATATATCATTTTATCCAAAGCGACTTCCAATTAGTGCATTAGAATTAGTTGATTAGTGCATCTAACATTAATTTTAGCAAATTAATAAAAGCAGAGGATGAAAAAGTTTTGGTCTTGAACAAATTATACACAAATTATAAAGTCCAGTAGTCAATCAATCAAGTTCATAAAGTGAACTAATAGGTCTTCATCACTTTAATCTATTCATATATGAATCATATTTTTGAAGAACTCATCCTTCAAAAAAAACTGGAAATATTCACATGTATACTTTATATCTTCAAGGCCATTTTGGTTTCCTGTCTCTAACAGTTATCAAACATCATCTATGGATGAACAATCTTTGTCTCAGGAGTTTATTCAGATCTCAGTAGAACTAAATGATTTCACATCAGACATTCAGACATTACCTTCAAAAACATGTGTCATGAGGAAAGTTGTTGTTTTAAACCATTAGGTTTCATCTCAATCTATTTATTTCATGTTATATTCTCGAGTTATGAATGAATGAATGATTTGCGTTCTTATGATTATTTAATTATATGATGGTTACTTTTACTTCTTTTGACTCCTAAAGGTTAAAAATTTCAAAATACTTGATTTTCATGTGACATCTTTGAAAACAAAGTAGTTTGAAATGAGCATTTTAAATCTAATGCAAAATAAATTCATGAATCTATAAATACAATTAAAACTTTAAAAATCAAAGCACCTGTGATGACACGTCTCTGCCGAAGCTCTTTGAAGTGCAGGACATTAACTAAGTAAACTTTCTCAAAGACACATTATCATTGGTGCCGGTGTCGTCTGAGTGTCACTGGATACGTGTGAAGGTTCACACCTCAAACTCCTGAAGTATTCATCAGACTGGAAACTCAGAATAACCAAGGTCACCGCAGACGAGAGAGAGAGAGAACAACGAGGAGCAGCGGACGTTTGGACGAGTTCGGGACGACATGTTTGTTTTCTGTGTTTCATCTCAGGTTTAAATATAAAACCTGAACGATGAGGATCAACAACCTGTAGAGGGCAGCACTGAGGTCTGTCTCCAAGAGTTAATAAATACATCCATCCATCATCCAACCATCATCCATCCATTCATCCACGCATTCATTCATCCAACTATCCAATCATCCATTCATTCATCCATCATCCAACCATTCATCCATCTATCATCTCTCTTCCCATCCATCCATTCATCATCCCATTCATCCAACTTTTCAATCATCAATTCATCCATCCATCCATCATCCAACCATTCATCCACATATTCATTCATCCAACTATCCAATCATCCAT